GGCACCTCACCCAACCGCAATCAAACGTACGCGCTGGACGCCCTGGCAGCATGGCACAAATACCTGCCAATCAACCAGCAAACTCGTTACTGTACTGTGAACCTTATCCCTATCTGCAATGTAAGGCTTCCCCCACCTGAGCCACACCCCCTCCCACCCACCCACCCACCACGTTTGCTGCATCCCGTTCAACCCCCTTCACAATCATTCTTGGTGCACATTTGCTCTACTACCGTGTCTGTTCGAGCACACCATCCCATCTGGTGCACATTTCCTTTACGAGTTCCTATCCATCCCCTCCGGTCCTCGTCATCGTGTTTACGAGTTCCTCGCCATCATCTAACAAGCGTAGCACAAGATAAGCTCCTTGCCATCGTGTTTTCATTCTTCGTGTTTTTTGCCGATCTTTTTTTTATTCCAGTTTTCTCTCTCCTTCATTCTTGTGTTTTCTTTTTTCCCATGGAGGTGTTTCGTTGAAGCTGGTATAACTAATGACATCACCCTTTCCTTTCATGGACGCAAGCCCCTTGCAAGTTTTACCGTTTCTTTACCTGATTTCGCCTTTCCGTTGTGCTTTTACAATCGGTGCATATGTTGCAGCAGCAGCACGTGCAGACACGATTCCCGGTAAGTGACGCTGCTGCGATTCCGTTTTGTCAATTTTGGTTTCCTGTTTCTGACGATCTGTTCGCTGTCCAAGGGCTGCAGGGATTCAAAGAAATCGGACTCTTTGCAGAGATGAGCCGACGGAACGGCACAGTGAAGAGACATAGAATGGGATGAAGTAGTGTCATATTATCTGTCGGTATAATATAGCTTCTTGAAAATGTGACTGGTTTTTGCACCATGTTTTAGTGCTATTTTGTGCCGGTCGTGTTATGTAACATGCGGTTGTTGACATGATTTAACACGATACGAACAAATGTCACCCTGTGCTGAACCCTGTATTCGGTTACACGTGGTTTTACAAAATTATAACGAATTTACAGTTTAATTTGATGCCACTTTATACGGCCACGTGGCGAGTGGAGCTACGACAGATTGTATCCACGTGTCATTATTTTTGGTGATGACGTGTACAAAGATTTGTTTACGATAATCATGGTTAGAGTCATATTATTACGGTGTACAAATTCAAATTAACGAATAGTCACATTTGTCTACAGTGTCTGGAATCGCTCGATGGTGTCACCCACATTTCCGCCTGAAATCACGTTGAGCACTGGCGGATTTCGCGACTCGAACTTTTGTCAGAAGTTCCACCGAGACTCAACTGGCCCTCAGTCGCCCCACTATTCCGAATTCGGACGGAAGGTTGGTACTGTTTTCCGTCGGGATTTGCCCCCCTCGGCTGAGTTCAGCCAAAATTTTGCCGAGTTTCGGCGACGTTGTTTTGTGATGAGGGAAGCAGAAGGCGTCGTGCTATGCGCCGAGCAGGTAGCGACCCCGCGACTTGAAATTCGCCGCGTCGGTGGCCGGTTGCATACATGGCGCGATGCGGAAAGCTCGGGATGTGATAGCAGGAACCGAGTCTGCGCGACCAACTCCGACTCGCGCGGTCGTTGTGTGAGTAGTTATCAGCTTCTTGTCATGCCCGGTTTTTTCACAACTCCTCTCAGTCAGATCTAATGAAGGTGTTCCCCACGCACTTGGGTGAGTTCTCGGGGGAAGGGTGTCTGGCTTGCTGGCTCCCTCCCATTGAGATTTGCGCTACACTCTGTTGGTCGCCTCTGATTGGCCTCACCCTTTTTTTGGCCGCGCATGTTGCAGCACGCGGTTGGTTGCGGCATTCGAAGATCTTCGTATTGGGTGCTCCAGGTGACATGCAATGCTCATTGTGATTGGTGTGCGAGTACCAGGCCTTGATTGCAAGAAAATTTCCCTGATTCAGGAAAAAAACAGAGTTGTTGCCGGTACTAGTCCTGATTGTCTTGGATTTTTCAGAAGGCATGTCCTATTTTTTCAGCCTTTTTTGGGGGGGTCAACTCCGATTGCTGAGAAATGTTTTCTTAATGAATCTTGAAATCTCAGCATTGTAACAAAATTGTACCTCTTTCTGTCAACGTGTGACTTGGGGGGCCTGCAGAGATTTCCAAGGTTCTCGACCGCCCTCTAGGCTCTGTGAGGGAACTCATTCGCCCTTAACCAAATTTGTGGCTCGACGCGTGAGACGGTGTGAGGGAGGGCACTTGGCCCTTAGCCAATTTTTGGGCCCGATGTGTAACTTGGAGCTTTGTACGGGCAAAATTTCCCTCGGCCCCTGCAATCTCACCCGCCTGACCCAATTCACCATGCACGCATGAATTCGCTACTAAAGCATGCACTAAGAACCTCCAAGAAACTAGGAAAGGTTCCATAGGTAACTCTGTCTGCTCAGGAAAAAAAAAATCCATGAGTCCTGATTCACAAGACTTTTTTTGGGACCAACCCTGAAAAAACAGAGAAAAACTCAGGGGGAATCCTGAGCTATCACCGCTCCTAAAAAACAATCTCGGGGCCTGGCGAGTACCCTAAACGTGGGTTCTCATGCGACTGTATCTGGTTGCACACACTTCAACAAATCCGCTTTGTGTTTTTATGGGCAGCGCATTGCATCAGCTGTGTAGTGCGTGCCGTTTCGAAACCTACCCTGCCCGCAAATTACCCCCTCTAGGTTCGTAACCAACCCCTGGGGCGTCTGGTGGGTCCCTCCATCAAGAGGGGTCCCAGCTTGATACCCCCTGTGCTATTTTGCCATGGGGTTTTAAGGAGTACATAGCCAGCAACGAAACACTAGGTTGCGGGGAGCATTTATTGAGCTGCATTTGAATAAGAGTCAGTTCGAGCGCTAAAATTTTCGCAAAATTCCGTCTCTAGTTTTTTACTCAGGTTGTACTCACTAAACCCTGAGAAAATCAGAACAGCTGAGTTCTGGACTCTGACATTTCAGACTACCAAAATTTTGGCTAAGGCCCTTTATAGTAATTGTTTTTTTGGGGGGGTTGGCTCAGAATGCCTATTGTGAAAGCTTGCTTAGGCCATCTTGCAAAGGCAGCGTGCTTCATTCCAGATGGGTAGTACATAGTTCTCGTCCATTACATGCAAACATGGGATACTACAACTGACCAGGGTGGGGGGGTAGGAGAAATCAAATGACAAACTAGAAATGAAGAACGTGAGTGAGGCCAAATGGCCTCACGTCCCTCTTTTTTAGCCAAAAGAGGGTGAGTAGCGCTTCATCGCTTCCTTTGCTGTGTTGGCCACGTCTTCACTTTCACAATGCACAATTTTATAAAATGTGTAACACTTTAAAAAATTATCATATTGTGAAAGCTTGCTTAGGCCATCTTGTGAAGGCAGCGTGCTTCATTGCAGATGGGCCTGTTGAGGCATGTGCATGCGGGGTCGACGGTGTCGCTCGATGGATTACTGGTGCCCAGCAGGCGTTGGGGCCGCCGCAGGGTCATGGAGTTGGGTGGAGACAGCTAGGAGCTGGTCTTGTGCAATCGTGACATAGAGCTCCTTAACAGTGTCGTAACGCCAACGTCCCATGCGTTTGGGAGCACCGAGCGCGGCTGCGGCGGTGGCGGCACCTTTGCGGAAGGAGTGGGTGCCGAGGTGGGTGGCGTATAGGCCTGCTGCAGTGAAGGCCTTAAGGCACGAGTTGCGAATGGTGGTGTACGAGGGTGAGCTGTATTGAGGCGTCGCTCTGGCGCCTCTGCCAAAGACTCGAATAATTGGCCCGTCGGGCAATCCGGTGAAGTCGGCGAGGTCGAGAAAGTGTCGGGTACACCGGACAGGGCAGAAGGGTCCTGGGGTAGCTGCGACCGGGATCCACGTCCCCTTGCCTTCTTGATCTGCCTTTGAGTCAGGGATGAGGAGCCACATGGCTTCGTCCTCGAACTAGATGTCGTTCCATTGGAGAGCAACCAGGTCCGAATAACAGAGAAATGCCGGGAACATGAGAAGCGGAATGAGGCATTTCTGGTATTTTGCGGGGCTTGCTGACTCGAGAAATGGGCAAGCCACGTTGTGCACCTGGTGAAGCGACAAGGGTTCCTTTGTTCGGGCGGGGCGGGGCCCGTGCCGTTTGGCAAACTCCCGAACTTGCAAGGTGAAGGGACCACCCGTGGGCGAGGGTTCCCAAGTCATGCTATGGGCAAAGGCCACAGTCGAACAGGTGAGGGTGATTGCCGAGAGTGTGGCATGATCATTAAGCGCATGGATGAAATAGAGGGCGAGCGTCATGTCCGACGCAGGTAGGAAGTCCAGCTTGACTGCGGTGCAGAATGAGAGAAATTTCAGCCAGTATCGTTTGTATGTCTGGATTGTGGAAGGACCGCGGACGTTGCTGATTACTTGCAATAATTGCTGCTGGAGCTTGGGCAATATGCCTGAAAAACATCCACGTTATTCTGTTAATTACATCTCATAGGTGATTTGCAATGCAATAATAGGGCTATGGGGCAATCCTAGGTCGGAGAATGCTGCCGCGTGGGTGCCTGGGCGAAGGCACTGGTTTCCTTGGGAACGATCAGCGTTAGGGTACTTTGCGTACGCTGCGCATGACAGAGAGTGATAGGGATCAGGTTGGGGGGCGAGAAGGCAAAGCCTCTTTCGCTTGTCCAGGAGATGGAGAACGCGTCGATCGCAGTTGCGCGGGGGTGCGGTATTTTAGCACAAAATTGTGGCAGCTGGCTGTGGTGCACCTCACGCGAGCCACCTCGAGTGAGGTGCACATGCCAGCCAGCTACCACGCGCCTCACGCGCCTCCTGACGGTCAATTCTTCAATTGCGTGAGGTGGCAGGCAGGCCTTGGCGTTCCATGACATGGCTTCTGTGACCAGGCATAGTAGTTCGTGACTGAAGGCCCGCGTCGTCGTGCCGAGCGCGAGGGCCACGGAGGCCAGCATGCCAGTGACTCGGTCAACCTGCCGGATGGGTACTGGTTGCGCCGCTTGTCCCTTAGCGATAAGCACCTGAAGTGTGTCCAAGAGTTGTATACGCCATTTGGCTCTAACCAGAAACAAGCCGCGGGTGGTATCGAGCTCGAGGCCCAAGAAGCGGATTTGGTGGGATGGTTGCATGTGTGATTTCTTCGCGTTGATGACAAATCCGGCTGCCTTGAGGTCCTGGAGGACTTCCGTGCAGGTCAAGCACGCTTGCTCCCGAGAGTCATACATGAACAGAAGGTCGTCTACGTATGGGACGGCACGTACACCGCGAGCCCTCCATCGTTTGGCCAATTGCTTGATGAGCTGAGTAAAAACGAAGGGTGCCGTTGCCAAACCGAATGCCACAGACCTGAAGCAATAGTATTCCCCATTGAATTGGAAGCCTAGGAACCTCCAGCAGGAGGGATGCATCTCAACGTGATGGTAGCCAGACTTGAGGTCAATGGTGAAAAGCCAATCATTGGGTCGGATGAGCTCTGTGATTCGGCTTAGGCCTTCATACTTGAACTTGGGAATGTGGAAGTGGGCATTGACCTTGCGCAAGTCAAGGATGAGGCGACATTTGTTGCACTGCTCGACCACATTGAGTGGGCTGATGCATGTGATTGCGGCTTTTCACGAGACCTTCATGGCAGCAGTGGTGGATACGAGGTCTTGAATGGCATCTCGACTGAATGTGGTGTGCGCGCGGACGCCCGCATGGTTAGCATCCTCGAATGGGGTGGGTGTCTCAGTTTTCCATGGAAGCCAGTATCCCTTGGCAATGATGGAGAGGATGAAGCTGCTGTCGCACCATGAGCACCACCAGTGGAGTTCGTGCCGCAAGCGGCTGTGCATGACTGTTACCGATTTGTCGGTAATGGCGTACTCGTACGGGTCTTACTCTATGTCAAACGGTTCGCCGCCAAGGGCTGCAGAAATGGACAACCAGGAAAGTGGAAAGGTATTGGATGGTTGGCCAATAGACCGGGCGTGCGAGGTGTCGGGTGAGATGTGTGTTTCCAATGCCTCTTTCAGAAACGTGTACAAAGAATCCACTTTCTCTTTTAGAGGTGGCGGTTCCATCTCAAGGCTACTCGTGCCTTTCCTCTTGTGTTTCTTTCTTTGCTGCTCTCTCTTTCTCTTTCTTTCTCTCTTGCTCCCTCTCTCTCTCTCTCTCTCTCTCTCTCTCTCTCTCACTCTCTCACTCTCTCTCTCTCTCTCTCTCTCTCTCTCTCTCTCTCTCTCTCTCTCTCTCTCTCTCTCTCTCTCTCTCTCTCTATCTCTCTCCCTCTCTCTCTCTCCGGCTCTCTTTGTTTGCCATCAAGAGCGTATTTCATTGGGCTGCCCTTGGGCCAGTCATGTGTGTGTAGTCCTTCGTACCTTCTTGGTTTCTTGCTCTCCCTCTCTCATTCTCTCACTCTGTTTTTTTTTTCTTCTTCTTCTTCTTTTTCAAACATTAGTCCATTGATTTGCAATGACATAACAAACTCCACACATGGAGAGGTGCCTTTGCAAGGATCTCTACCCAAAGAAACAGCCTCTAGGGCTACCAAATCTGGACCCCTAGGTCCATGTGCCTCTACGAGGCTAACTACGCAGCACCGGTGCGCCCCACATGCTCCCGAGATATTGGCAAAGGGGCGCCACCCCATACGCCTCCTCACACAACGGGTGAGGGGCCTTGTGAGCCTCGCCCGCCCATGGGGCAGGAATCAGCCATATGGTTGGGCTGGCCACAATGGAAGCATACCCCTTTGAAGCGGGGTTCTTGGCAGCTGCCGGATCCAATGGGCTTATTGTCCAAATCGTCATCATGGCCGGGGGTGTGACCTCCACGGGTGTAATCGGTGCGGGCGCGTTTGAGGGCCGCGACATCAGCGACGGCGAGCTTGTAGGAGCGGGAGGTGAGGACGCTCTTGGACTGGTACAGCTGGAACCGGTCGGCGTCCTCGAACCCTGCCTCGTCCGCCACCAAGAGCACCTCGAAACGCTTGTTGATGAGCGTTTCGATGTACGCCACGTTGGAGAGGGCGCTTTCGGTGTCACCGTTCTGCAACTTGAACTCGATGCGCCTAAGGTGGGCCTGAAAAGAAGCAAACTCCTCTGCCTGGTCGCGCACGCCCTTGCGCATGAAGGTTGTGGCCGTTGTCGAGTCATGCTGTGCTCCGGCGAGTCGAGTTACTCGCTCGAATTCATTTCGCCACGCTTCGCGGTCCGCTCACATCTCCTCCAGAAGAGCGGCGATGCTCGCGAAGAGCTGCTGGGTAACCTCGGCGTTGTCGAGGGTTGCCATCCTGTTCAAAACACGCGCGGGAGGGGTGATTAAAAAAAACGCGGAGCTGGTGCTTACCAGAATCGGTGTCGAATTGGTCGCCCCCGGCGGTTTTTCAAGGCAGGTTTTCCAGCTGCTGCTGCTTTGTTGAGTGCGGCCGAGTGAGAAAAGCTCTGATACCAAGTGTCTCAGGATCGAATGACTCGAGGAAAGATTGCACTATCGATCAGTACAAGGCACTGTTATACTTCCAAAGCATATCAGGTAACCAGGTTTATCCTATCCAAAGGGAATAGACCCTTCTAGAAGATAGAATCACCCTGCGTATAGCCACGCGAGGCTATTGGCTTTAAGGGATTACGGCAGGATTACGCTAGATATAGCGCGCTAGTACATCCCAAGCCTGGTCGGTGATATAATTATAATAGCAGGATAAACCAAAGGATAATGGAAAATGGGGAATAGGAAACCAAATGAGATGGTATAAAAAGAGAAATGAAATAGGAAGGAAGTAAGGAAAGGCCAACTGGTGTAACGGGGTCGTACTCTCACAGAGGACCACCAGCCGAAGCAGATCAGCTCATGCCCATCACCCGAGGAGTCTGCTGCAGTCGCGCTACGGTCGTCGCGTTCTTCTCCAACGCCGACTTGTACCAGCGCTCTCCCGGCCATCGCACTCCTGATAACATCTGGCATCAACGACTTGGGCACCCTGCAAACAGCTGTATTGTTCAACCCATACAAGCCGGAGTATTAGAAAAGAATGCTCTCCTCACAACAAGCGGCCAGGAGCTTCGACGACCTCGCGCACGATGCTTCACGTGCCCCGAAGCTGATCTTCCCCATCAACCTTTCCCGTCGCACCACAATCCAAGCGCACCTGCATACGCACCGATGGAAAAAGTTTACAGCGATATCTTGAACATGCCTCGAGATGACAGTGAAGCCGAGTACAACTACGTCATCATGTTCATTGACGCAGCTACACGATTCGTCTGGCACTTCAACCTCAAGACTCGTGACCAAGCGTTCGAAGCCTTCAGGGCGTGGCTCCCCATCGCTGAACGAGAATCGGGCTCGCAACTCAAGAGCTTCCAGTCAGACGGGGCACTGGAGTATCAGTCACAAAAGTTCAAGAGCTACTTGGCAGAAAGAGGCATCAAACGCCTAGTGTCCCTGCCCTACGCTCACCAACAGCAGGGGGTCGCAGAGAGGATGAACCGCACCTTGCAGACGACGATGCGGTAGCTGCTCCTAGGGATGAGACTGCCCAACACCCTTTGGCCTGACGCGATGACGCATGAAGTCCACCTCCACAACTTGCTGTCCTCGTCATCACTTCCCAACAGCGCTTCACCACACTTGCTATGGATAGGAAAACTGGGCAGCACAAAATTACTTCGAGTCTTCGGCTGCATGGTATAGTACCGACCCCGCACAGCACGAGCAGGACGATTTTCTCAACGAGCACGGTGGGGACTACACCTCGGCATCACAAAACATTTTCACGCGTGGAAACTTCTTAATGAGAGGGTATGCAAGATCTGGGCGAGTGCAAGTCATCAGGTACATGAGGCAACCCACCAGCTCTGCGTAGGGGCCACTGGGCTATACCGACTCCTCAGACACTGGAGCAGAGAGTCTGTGGTCTACAGGCAGAGGGGTGGGCTGTGCAGAAGAGAACCGAAGGCCGAACCTATGAAGGACCTGGCGCACCAAGTGTGACTGAGTCAGAGTGATGGTGCGCGCTGCTCTGTCCCTTGAGATCTGCAAGCCAAGGTAACGGCGCAGTTCTCCAAGGTCAGTGCAGGTGTGTCTACGGCGCAGGCCGTAGACGGGGCGCCAGAGGAGCCACTGGGTCCCTGAAGGGAAGGTGCCAGTAAAGCCCTGAGGGCGACGCAAGTAGACCTGCTCGTGTAGGCTTCCTTGAAGGAAGGCAGTGGAGAAGTCAAGGGAGTGAAGCTCGTAGTCACGCTGAGCAGCTAGGTGTAACAGAACCCAAAGAGTAGTCATCTTCGGGGTCGGAGCGAAGGTCTGGAAGAAGTCCACCCCCTCACGCTGACTGAAGCCTCTAGCCACGTAGCGCGCCTTGAACACAGGCGGCTCTCTAGGAAGGTGATTCACCTTGAAGAGCCAGCAGCCATCGACTACATTCACCCCAGGCGGGGGAACTGCGTCGACGAAGGTGCCGGTGGATCTCCAAGATGCCATCTCCTGCTCCATGGCAGCTATCCACTGCGAGGCCCAGGGTCCCGAGGTTGCCTCCGCGTAAGTGCGAGGGGTCGGGATGTCGAAAGCGTCTGGGTCACCCTCAGGGACTAGCAGCATGGAACAGAGATGGGGAGCAGCCTCGGACAGGAAAGCAAGCTCGAACTGGCGGTCCTCCAGGACGTCACTCCCGAGGGCAGGAGCACCCCCGACAGATGGAGGACAGGCAGGGTCAGAGACCAGAGCGGTGGCGTAGTCAAGGCGGCGGGTAGAGGCGAAGTCAGCGACCGCAGCTACAAGAGCGTCAAGACATGAGACCGGAACAGACGGGTCGGTAACGAGAGAGGCAAGGACCCGAGGAACAAGAGGACGAGCGGCACGAAGGTAGTCAGACAGAGGGGGGGGTGCAACGACAAGGGAGGATGGAGGAGGCGACGGGAGAAGGGGAGGACGAGACGTGTGGGAACGAAGCAACATAGGGTGAGAGCGCAAGTCAGGGGAGACAGGACGAGCACGGGAGGGACGGCGAGACCAGACGTGAGACGGAGGAGTCAGGTCAGGAGACAGAGGAGGGGACACAGGGGGGGAACGAGGGGGAAGACGAGCCGGGGACGAGTCCGGCGGAGGGAACACCGGGCCGAAGACGGGAAGAGGAGGAGACGGCAGGAGAGGAACAGATGCAGGGTCAGGCGACGGAAGGCCGAGCAGGCGAAGGGGTGACACCGGCGGGGACTGCTGCTGCTGCAGGACAACACCGGGACCGCAAGCTGCTCCTCAGCTACCACCGACACACTCCACGCCAGCACCCCCAGAGGGAACACCCCCTGGGCCCGAAACCGCGCGAGCACCGGTACCACCCCCAGGGCCACCGGGACGAGCATGCACTCCAACGCCAGCACCCCCAGAGTCAACGAACGGCTGCTGTGACGGCGGCGGCGGCGGCTGCGACAACGACGGGTGCGGCGGCGGCGGCTGCGACAACGACGGGTGCGGCGGCGGCGGCTGCGACAACGACTGGTGCGGCGGCGGCGGCGGAGGTGACGTTGGCTGCGACAGCAGAGGCAACGGCGGCGGCAGAGGCGGTGGAGGAGGGGACGCCTGAGGAGGGGCAGCCGGTGGGGACTGCGCCGCAGGACCACCAGAGTTAGAAGACTCCTCGACTGGGACCACCGACGGAAGAGGGGTGACGTGGGACACATCAGAGGGGGCAAGACGGGGAGGAGGAGGGGGGGGGCAGGGACCACCTGGGAAGGAGTGACCAGGAACAGGGGGGGGGTAACCGGGGGACCGCGGTAGGGGAAGCGATGGTAGAAGGAGACGGACTCGTCAAAGGTGACGTCGCGATAGTGAAAGAAGCGGTGAGATGGCGGGTGGTAGAAGTGCCAGTCCGATGCGTCAAGAGGAAAACCGACGAAGACGCAAGGAAGGGTGCGGGCAGTGAGCTTGTCCGTGCCGGAGGCACGGACGTGAGCAAGGCAGCCCCAGACGTGGAACGCAGACGCGTCACCAGGAGACCCAGTCCAAAGACGGGTCTGCGAAAGCTGTGGCTGCTGGGGGTGCGGCCACAGGTTATGCTGGTGAGAAGCGTAGCGCACGACCAACGGCCACAGAAAATGGGGTGCACCGGCATGGATCATGGAGGTGCGAGCCACCTCCATGACCAAACCGATGCGTCGCTCAGCGACCCTATTCTGCTGTGGGGAGTCCGGCAGGGTGAACGTCTGGGTGATGCCCTCCGCACGACAAAAGCGACCAAGGACACCTGAGGCAAACTCGCCACCACGGTCGGAGTGAAGATGCAAGACAGGGAGACCTCTGTGGATACGGGCAGAGACAAGCCAGGGGATGAGAGCGTCAGGCACGTCGGCCTTCCGCTCTAGGGGAAAGACTGTGGTGTAGCGAGTGAAGTCGTCGACAAGCACGAGGAAGTAGCGCTCTCGACGCGGCCCATGGACGGGGGCGGAGCCCAAGACGTCCATGTGCAGGGTCTGCAGCGGCGCGGCGGTAGGGGGAAACGAGGAGGAGTGAGGGGCACGGCGAAGCCGACCCTCGACGCAAGGCGTGCAAGGTGGGGCGGGGGAGGAGGGAAAAGCGGGGAGAGAACCAGGGAGACCAAGGACGAGACCGTGCTGGGACATGTGACGCAGACACGGGAGCGCAGGGTGACCTAGGCTGTGGTGCCAAAGGAGAGTCGGGTGAGTGAGGGACCGACAGGAGCAGGCAGCAGCAACCTGGGAAGACGCAGCCACCTGAAGGGGCGCCCCAGCCGGGAAGGTCACGGTGTCCAGAGTGAACGAGCCGGACACCAGGTCCTGGGGGAACGTGGACAGGGGGGCACCAGTGGCGGCCTCGGTACAGACAGTATACCGCTCGTAACCAGGAAACGTAGTGGTGACGCCAAGGTCCTGGAGGCAGCCGACACCAACTAGGTTCCTGGAGAACGAAGGGATATGCAGACCTGTATAAGAGCCTGAAGGGACCGCCGGACAGAGAAGGGTGGTGGAACTGCGGGCGACTACCGGACCGCCGGAGGGGTCAGCAAAAGAAACGGCAGCAGGAACAGGAAGTGGCGTCAGTGTAGTGAAGTCGCGGAAGAAGCACCGGGAAGTGCCAGAGTCCAAGGTGAAGGAAAGCGAAGCAGTGGCGTCCGACGACGGGGCGACGGCGGAAGCACCAAGGCTAAACAAACCAGGGGCTCCTACGCCTGGCGGAGCAGGGGAGGCTAAGCTAGACACACCTACACTAGACGACAATGAGTAATAAGCAGGAAGCACACTAGAGTCATCAGCATACATCACATGCAGAGCAGAAACAATGGCATCCATGTCCATGTCAAAAAATCTGAATCCTACGACTAAGCAAACTGTGCCAGTCCGGGAGGTCTGGCGACGGGCCGAAGTGCTGACGAAACAGGTCGTCCAGGCGACGAAAATAGTGAGAAGTGGCATGACCGAGCTTACCGCATACGAAGCCGCGGCGAGGACTGGTCTGGATCTGGTACTGACAATGCACGCCTCCCAAACTACCACTTGGCACACCACCACGCGCATGACCACCTCCAGCGCCAGGCCACCCGGGCGGGAGGACACTTGCCTGCCTCATCTGCGGCGGCTGCTGCGGCTGCTGCGATTGCTGCGGCTGCTGCTGTTGCTGCTGCGACTGCGGAGGCAGCTGCTCAGCTGGACCGGGCAGGGTCCCCTCGTTCGCTCCAGCACCAGACGACCCGACTCCACCACCACCCCCACCTGCACCCCCTCCTCCTCCGCCGCGCCCAGCCTTGAGGCGGCGGCCCTTCCCCGAACGGAACTGCGCTGCAGCAGCAGTCTCAGCCACAGCGGCAGAACCGTCGGTGAAGGTACACTAAGCGGGGGCACAACCCTGAAAGATAGGGACCGGCACAGTACCGCTCGCCTGGGCGATGGAGCGGTGGCGGGTCTCAATAACAGTCAGGGTGTCTACAGAGTCGGTGAGGGTGAGCTCACCGGGGTGAATGCTAAGGAAGCGGTCGCGGGCGGCGGCAAGGCGGTCAGGGAGGCGGGTGGCAAGCAGGTAGAGGGTAGAGGTAATGGGCGGCTGGTGGGCTCTAAGCTGTGCGTCAGTGCAGGCAGCGCGCCAGGGCTCATCTATCGTGCATAGGTGGGCAGCTAGGTCAGCGACAGTGGGGAAAGACGCAAGGTCGGGAAAGAGCATCGGGAGGATCAGGCGACCCACCGAGGCAGCAGGAGGGGTGGAATAGCGCTTGATGACAGCATCTAAGAAGGCATGGGTGGTAGTGATGGACCTAAAGCGAGGGCGCTCAGACGGGGGAAGGGCATTACTAATGGCAAGCTGAGCGACAGCGTTTCGGGAAAGCCAGACAGAGCGCGCAAGGGCAGCGGCTGCAGTAGACTCGCGCTCAGCGGGTGTGGGGTCAGCGGGCAGCACAGCAGGGGGGTCTGGGTAGGGGAGCGTACCGTCAAGGTGTGCGGAAAGCGGGTGGCCATCCTGCCGATGGCCAGTGAGGTGGCGACGGAGGTCGGCGAGCAACGCCTCGAACTCCAGAGGCTGGCCTTCAGTGTCGAAGCGAAGCTCCGCCGCCATTAGGAGCAGTGCAGGACTGTACATTGAAGTACAGTGCGGTGCACTGCGGTGCAATGCGGTGCAGTGCGGTGCAACGCGGTGTAGTGCGGTACAGTGCGGTACCGTGCGGTGCAGGGCGGTGCAGCGCGATGCAGTGCGGTACAGGTGATGGGGAACCGTACCAGGGAGGGTGCAAGGCCGGAGCAGGCACGACGAGCGGGCCGCACACAGCTCGGGGCAGGACGGGCGCGGGGGCCAGGAGCAGCGGGCACCTGGCCGGCGGGACGAGCTCAGGGCCGACAGGACGGGCGCGGGGCCGACTGGGACGAGCGCAGGGGCCGAGCAGACGGGCGCGGAGGTCGCGAGGGCGGGCGCGGGGCCGGCTGGGACGGGTGCAGGGGCCGAGCGGACGGGCGCTGAGGTCGCAAGGGCGGGCGCGGGGCCGGTAAGAACGGGCGCTGAGGCCGAGAGGGCGGGCGCGGAGGCCGCTAGGGCGGGGACGGGGCTGGCTAGGACGGGCGCTAGGGCGGGCACGGGGGCCGCTAGGGCGAGCACGGGGCCGCTAGGACGGGCACTGGGGCCGCGAGGACGGGTGCTGGGGGCAGCTAGGACGGGCGCTGGGACCGCTAGGACGGGCACGGGCGCGGCTAGGACGGGCGCAGGGGGCCGCTAGGGCAGGGACGAGGCCGGCTAGGACGGGCGCTAGGGCGGGCACGGGGGCCGCTAGGGCGAATGCTGGGGCCGCGAGGACGGATGCTGGGGGCCGCTAGGACGGGCGCTGGGGCCGCTAGGATGGGCACGGGCGCGGGGCCGGCAAGAACGGGCTCAAGGGGCCAAGAGGGCGGGCGCGGAGGCCGCTAGGGCGGGCACAAGGGCTGCTAGGGCGGGCACAGGGCCAGCTAGGACGGGCGCTAGGGCCGAGGGGAGGGGGCGCGCGGGGCGCGAGGGCCGTAAGGAGGGGTGCGCAGGCGCAGCTAGGACGGGCGCGCGGGCGCGGCTAGGGGGGGCGCGGCTAGGAGGGGTGGGTAGGTCCTAGAGCGGAAGCGTGGGCGGGCGGGGACCTACCTAGCTCTGATACCATCTCAAAACTGAATGAATTGTTGAGTAGAGAAAGAGTACAGGTGAATATATCTAAGTGTTGTACCCTCTAAGAGGTGACCCTATACAGTCTATGCAAACTTAGGAGATACACATGTTTGACAAAGGCCAAATGGCCTCACATCCCTCTTTTGTAGGCAAAAGAGGGTGACTAGCGCTTCGTCGCTACTTTTGCTGTGTTGGCCACGTGTTCACTTTCACAGTACACAATTTTATAAAATGGGTAACACTTTAAAAATTATCATTTTTTTAAACATCAGGCCTGATCGAGGCCCTCTCCATCTACTCTCGCACACAAGCAGAATCAATGGCGAGAGCTCAGTTTCGCCAAAATTATTTCGCACCTCTCAAACCTTTCGTTAGCCAATCAAAAACTGTCGTCCCACCTACCTCACTAGTAACAATATGGAACCTGCCGGTCAGGCTTTAAATCCCACTCTCATCTTGCCCCAGGAATGTTGCCTGGGTTGGCTGCTCCGGGTCACAACTGTGATAATCAAAGACTGCCATGGTCCTCCTAGAGAAGAACACGGCTGAGTGAGAGTAACCAGACGCAGAAATGACATACGCATCACTCGCAGCTAGCAGCAGCCACTCGGTGACCAGCTCTTGGTACATCCTCGCCTCCTTCTGCTTTCCCCACATGATAGCAGCACTGGTGGCACTGGTGTCGACGCTCCCATGGCTCACGGAACCCAGCCTGGTTGAATGCCGAGGGACGAAATCTGTTGTGAAAACCTGCAAGCAAGGGGCCACAATCGTGGGATAGCATGGTGGAAAGCCCTTCTCACGGCATCAGAGGTCTCTGAAATCCCTGAGTTCCCTCTCAAAAACATCCTTCTTTTCACTGGGTTGGTCTAGCTTCTAGAAGATACCTGGAAGCCTCTGAGTTGGGCAGCAGCGAACTTGGAGGCCACGAGGATTAGACATGAGAGTGTTTGGTTTGTGTCACTAAACCAGTGAGATGTGCACTGGTTAGACGTGCACCAGTGAGATATGCATGGAGGGTTGGAGTCTGCTTGGAGATGGATGATTCAGCTTTCCTGCATGCACGAAAGCTGAAGCTGAGGCGCTCCCCTTGAAGCGCCCGAGTTGGCACAGACATGCCTGACTTGCTCCATCTGGAATCGGGTCATGCGTGCGCCACACAGACTGAACGCATTGTCCCTGGCACGCACGCAAGCAGGCACGCAGGCGCGCGCGCACTCAGGCACACACACACCACACACGCACACATGCAAGCACACATGCAGGTACGGACGCAGGCACGCATGCACGCAGGGACACAGGCAGACACGCATGCATGCACGCAGGGACGCAGGCACGCACGTGCGCACTCACACATGCCTTGTCTGGGTATCTAGATTTAATGGCGGCCTTCAGCTGAGCGGAATTGGTGATGAGCATCCACCTCACGGTAAGAGACGAGGGTAACCAGAACGCCTCCACACGCTGATTGCACACAGGGATACGAGGGGAGAGAGTTCTCGGTGCTCGATGACCCAGGGGAGACATGAGGGAGGAACGTAATGTGTGACGACTGTGAATGCGTGATAGTGAGAGGAATTCAATCGGGTTGAAGGCATGGGGTCAAAGAGGAACAGTCCAGCAGCGAAGTCGAGCAACTGAAAGAGCACACAACCCACGACCAATACATCGCACCACCATGTTCAAATCCAACCAAGCGACCTGGAATGCATACCCACCTGCCCTAGCTCCATGCACGCTCACACAGATGCATCAAACCATCAAAACCCATCTCACCATCTCACATCCTTCCACGCATCCATCCACCCATGCACCCACCCATCCCACCGTTAATCCTCCCATCCGTTCCTCCATCCACCCTCATCCCACCCGTCCCCCGCACCTCAGCGCAGTCGAGCCATTGTTTTGCGTTCTCCAGCAGCTGGTCCAGCTCAGCTTCTTGGGCGCGCCATATTCGGGACCCCACACCACCTCGTCCTGCACGCGGATGTGAATGCCCACCACTGCCACACGCCTGCTGCTGTCATCCCCCGTGCTGGCTCTCAGCCGCTGCTCAGTGCTGTGGAACATCTCCTGCACCTCTGCACACGGCCTGCCAAGGGGGAGAGGTATCAGTCGATGTGAGTGGATAAAAACATGTAAAAGCAAGACTTGCAACCAACAGTTAAGTTAATTCCTGTTGACATACCTTAAGGTGTCAAAACTCCTTCCCCTAATGCACATGCCCCACATCCCCCCACATCCCTCATCCCCAGCTACATGACCCACATGCCCCCTTCGTACACCCCGCTACTTACCGCAGGAGGAACCTGAAGAAGCACCCCACGGCGTACGGCAGGCGCATGCCCAATGCCTTAAACCGTTCCGCCCACGGCCCACTGGCCTGAGTCGCCATGTACGTCAGCATGCCCAGATTAGTCGCCATCCGGATGTTAGTCGCGTTCTCGAGCTCCTTAAAGTACGTCTCTGGGTCCACGCGCGTGTTGCGCAGGTCTACCCACACCACTCCCCCTCCTTCACCGCCGCGGCGGGTCGCTCCCTGGTCAGCCCGCCGTCCCAGAAGCTCCTCGCAGGCAGTCGTGGCGGACGATGAGCGCACGGCCGTCAAGTACGGCCGTCACGAACGCGAGCATCAGCCCGTTGAGCACGTCGCCGAACCCGCCGCACTCTTCCACCCACTCGAACGTTAGGAAGCGCACGGCGGGGTCGAACGGGCGCGGAGGAAGGGGAGGGGCGAACCACGCGAAGACTCCGCTCCGCCGGTGGCGCTTGACGTGCTCCGCGTGCGCGGCTGCGCTGGTCTGGCGGATGGCGGCGTGGCGCGCGGCGTAGTCGGCGGGCCACGAGCCGCAGACGGCGTCGGCCGACGAACTGTTCCAGAAGTCCCAGTCCCAGTCCAGCGAGGCCGGCAGGCGCCGGCTCTGTGGGAGAAGTCCCGGAGACGGGTAGAGGGAGAGGGAGGCATGGAGGGACGACGGTGTGATTTTTTCAGGCACTGCTGCTCCAACTAAAGCGACGAGCTATTTGCTTCCATGATACTGCATTGAGTCGGCAATGAGAAAGCGACGTCCCAAAATATGAGGACCAGAAATATGGAGTAGATGTACAGTAGGTATGGCATAGATACGTCTGCTACGGAGTAGCCGTGCTATACGAACTACTAGTATTCCCAGAATATAGGTGAGATCCACATTTTTGTGACGGATGGTGGACTCGGAGGAGGGACGTCACAAAAATGTGGATCTCACCTATACTGTAGGTATAGTTGTTCGTATCTATGCCGTATCTACTGTATAGCTACTCAGTATTTCTGGCCCTGGTTTATCCCTCGGAGGGATCATCGACAGCTCCAGTGCGGGATCACGCCACGTCGGACGCGGTCGTACGCGTTACACAAACTCGATTACGCGAGCACTGTGCAAGGCTTACGGAGACTGATTGAGCCGCCGCGAGGAGAAGAAGCCATGCAGTTGGAAACGCGGCGAGGGAAATATCATCGCAAAAAACCTTCATTTCCGTTTCGGGTCTCGGTTTGGATTTTCGGTTCTATCGGGGCTGGGTTTCCGGCCTTTTTTTCCGCAGCCAAACCGCGGCTCGTTTCTGTCAGTTTTCCGTCGGAATTGCCGGAGCGGATATTTTGGGGCGAGGTTCACCCGAAATGTCTCGGAGGCGACGTGACGAAGTTGGAGCTTTGACTGGGTTACATCGCCACCTGGTTCGTCAGTTCGCGAGCCAAAATTTTCCGTGCAAATTCAGGCAGTTTGTTCACGTGTGACGCATATGTGTGCGCTTCGGGCTCCCTATACCCCATTTGAAATCACTCCCTCAGTTGAATACTAATCCTGCTGTTTTTTTGCAACGACATGTAATATAGCATTACACTTATTCCGGATTCCTCTATGTATGTACATGTGATACCTATTCTAAAGAAAAACGCACGATTCATGGAACGAGAGGATCACATGCACGTGGTGCAATATGGCATTGATCGGAACCACATGGTAACCCCCATCGTCCTCACGCCAGCGAAGGCGTTCGCAGCGCGTCGCATCGTCCAACCCTCCAGCAAGCCACAAGCGGACAAATGCCAGATCCTCCCGTTCTCCCCTGCGCTTGAGATGGAAGAGAAGGAACAGCCGGCCATACACCTCCTCTCCATCAAACAGCAGCGCCACGTTCGTGTCAAACATGTGTATCTCCTATGTTTGCATAGACTGTATAGGGCCATCTCTTAGAGGGTACAACGCGTAGGTATATTCACCTGTACTCTCTCTCTACTTAATCATTCAGTTCTCACTTTGATATGGTATCACGCGTAGGTTAGGATCCCCCACCTACCGCTTCCGCTCCTACCCTCACTAGGCCCCGCCGTGCCCCTCCTGGGCCCTTCGTGCCTCCTAGCCCAGCCGCGCCCCTCCTGGGCCCTGTCGCGCTTCCTAGCCCAGCCGCGCCCCTTCCTGGGCCCCGTCGCGCCTCCTAGCCCTGTCGCGCCCCTCCTGGGCCCCGTCGCGCCTCCTTGCCCAGCCGCGCCCCTCCTGGGCCCTATCGCGCCTCCTAGCCCAGTCGCGCCCCTTCTGGGCCCTGTCGCGCCTCCTAGCCCAGCCGCGCCCCTCCTGGGCCCTATCGCGCCTCCTCGCCCAGCCGCGCCCCTCCTTGGCCCCGTCGCGCCTCATTGCCCAGTCGCGCCCCTCCTGGGCCCTATCGCGCCTCCTAGCCCAGTTGGCCCCGCGCCTGTCCCGCCCCGAGCTGTGTGCGGCCCGCTCGTCGTCACTGCCCCGGCCCTGCATCCTCCCTGGTACTATCCCTCCTCACCTGCCCCGCTCTACACTGCACCGCACCGTGCTGCACCGCACTGCACCGCACTGCACCGCCCTGCACCGCCTTGCACCGCACTGCACCGCCTTGCACCGCACTGCACCGCACTGCACTGCACTGCAGCGCACTGCACCGCACTGTATAGTCCTGCACTGCTCCTGATGGCGGCGGAGCTTCGCTTCGACGCTGAAGGCCAGCCACTGGAGTTCGAGGCGTGGCTTGCCGACCTCCGCCGCCACCTCACTGGTCATCGGCAGGATGGCCACCCACTTTCCGCACACCTTGACAGTACGCTCCCCTGCCCAGACCCCCTGCTGTGCTGCCCACTGACCCCACACCCGCTGAGCGCGAGTCCACTGCAGCCGCTGCCCTTGCACGCTCTGTCTGGCTTTCCCGAGACGCTGTTGCTCAGCTCGCCATTAGCAATGCCCTTCCCCCGCCTGAGCGCCCTCGCTTTAGGTCCATCCCTACCGCTCAGGCTTACTTAGATGCTGTAACCAAGCGCTATTCTGCCCCCCCTGCTGCCTCACTGGGCCGCCTGATCCTCCCGCTGCTCTTTCCCGACCTTGCGTCTTTCCCCACTGTCTCTGACCTAGCTGCCCACCTGCGCTCGATAGATGAGACCTGGCGCGCTGCCTGCACTGATGCACAGCTTAGAGCCCACCAGCCGCCCATGACCTCTACCCTCTACCTGCTTGCCACCCGCCTCCCTGACCGCCTTGCTGCCGCCCGCGACCACTTCCTTAGCATTCACCCCGGTGAGCTCACCCTCACCGACTTCGTAGACACCCTGACTGTTATCGAGACCTGCCACCGCTCCATCGCCCAGGCGAGCTGTACCGTACCGGTCCCTATCTTTCTGGGTTGTGCCCCCGCTCAGTGTACCTTCTCCGACGGCTCTGTCGCTGTGGCTGAGACTGCTGCTGCAGCGCAGTCTCCCTCGGGGAAGGGCCGCCGTCCCAAGGCTGGGCGCGGCGGAGGAGGCGGGGGTGCAGGAGGGGGTGGTGGTGAAGTCGGGTCGTTGGGTGCCGGAGCGGACGAGGGGACCCTGCCCTGTCCAGCTGAGCCGCCGCCTCCGCAGTCGCAGCAGCAGCAGCAGCAGCCGCAGCAGTCGCAGCAGCCGCAGCCTCCGCAGCAGCCGCAGCAGCTGCAGTCGACGAGGCAGGCGAGTGCCCTCTGGTGTGTCCCACGTCACCCCTCTTCCGTCGGTGGTCCCGGTTGAGGAGTCTTCTGACTCTGGTAGTCCTGCGGCGCAGTCCTCGCCGGCTGCCCCTCCCCAGGTGTCCCCTCCTTCACCGCCTGTGCCGCAGCCGTCACCTCAGTCGTCGCCGCCGCAGCAGTCGTTGTCGCTGTCGCAGCCGCCGCCGTCGCAGCACCCGTCCGTTGCCTCTGGGGGTGCTGGTGTTGGAGTGCGTGCTCGTCCCGGTAGCCCTGGTGGTGGTACCGGTCCTCGCGGGGTTTCGGGCCCTGGGGGTGTTCTCACTGGGGGTGCTGGCGTGGAGTGTGCCGGAGGTCGCCGAGGAGCAGCTTGTGGTCCGGGTGTCGGCGTTGTGCCGCCGCAGCAGTAGTCCCCGCCGGTGTCAGCCCTTCGCTTGCTCGGCCTTCCGTCCCCTGACCCTGCGCCGGTTTCTCCCCGGCCGTCTCCTCCTCTTCTTGTCTACGGCCCTGTGTTCCCTCCGCCGGACTCGTCCCCGGCTCGTTTTCCCCCCTAGTTCCCCCTCTGTGTCCCCTCCTCTGTCTCCTGACTCGACGCCTCCGTCCCACGTCTGGTCCCGCCGTCCCTCCCGCGCTCGTCCTGTCTCCCCTGTCCCGCGCTCTCATCCTATGTTGCTCCGTTCTCACGCGTCTCGTCCTCCCCTTCTACCGTCGCCTCCTCCGTCCTCTCTTACCGTTGCACCTCCTCCTCTGTCCGACTACTTTCGTGCTGCTCGTCCTCTTGTTCCTCGTGTCCTCGCCTCTCTCGTTACCGACCCGTCTGCTCCGGTCTCGTATCTTGACGCTCTTGTAGCTGCGGTCGCTGACTTCGCCTCTACCCGCCGCCTTGACTAGGCCACCGCTCTGGTCTCTGACCCTGCCTGTCCTTCGTCTATCGGGGGTGCTCCTGCCCTCGGCAGTGACGTCCTGGAGGACCGCCAGTTCGAGCTTGCTTTCCTGTCCGAGGCTGCTCCCCATCTCTGTTCCATGCTGCTAGTCCCTGAGGGTGACCCAGACGCTTTCGACATCCCGACCCCTCGCACTTACGCTGAGGCGACCTCGGGACCCTGGGCCTCGCAGTGGATAGCTGCCATGGAGCAGGAGATGGCATCTTGGAGATCCACCGGCACCTTCGTCGACGCAGTTCCCCCGCCTGGGGTGAACGTAGTCGATGGCCGCTGGCTCTTCAAGGTGAAGCGCCCTCCTGGAGAGCCGCCTGTGCTCATGGCGTGCTACGTGGTTAGAGGCTTTAGTCAGCGTGAAGGGGTGGACTTCTTCCAGACTTTCGCTCCGACCCCGAAGATGACTACTCTTCGGGTTCTGTTACACCTAGCTGCTCAGCGTGACTACGAGCTTCACTCCCTCGACTTCTCTACTGCCTTCCTTCAGGGCAGTCTACCTGCGTCGCTCTCAGGGCTTTACTGGCACCTTCCCTCCTGGGACCCAATGGCTCCTGCGGCGTCCCGTCTACGGCTTGCGCCAGGCTCCCCGTGAGTGGCACGACACGCTGCGTGCTACCCTTGCTGACCTGCAGTTCTTTCCGCGGGCCGGCTCGGTTCTGTCAGTTTTACGTCGGAATTGCCCGAGCTGGAATTTCTGGGCGAGGATAGCCCGAAATGCTTAGCAGGCGACGTGACGAAATTGTATATTTGAATGGGTTACATCGCCACCTGGTTCGTCAGTTCACAAGCAGACATTTTCCGTGCAAACTCTGGCTTTTTTTCTGTGCATGACCCATACGTGTGCGCTTCGGGCTCCCAATAGCCCATTTGAAAGCACTCCCTCATGCTTATTGCCAATACATGTAAAATAGCCTCACATTTATTCACGATTCCTATATCTATCTACATGTGATACCTATTCAGAAGAAAAACGCACGAGTCATGGAACGAGAGGATCACATGCACGTGGCGCAAGATGGCATTGATCGGAACTACATGGTAGCCCTCATCGTCCTCCCGCCAGCGAAGGCGCTTGCAGCGCGTCGCATCGTCCAACCCTCCAGCGAGCCACAAGCGGACAAATGCCAGATCCTCCCTTTCTCTCCTATGCTTGAGATGGAAGAGAAGGAACAGCCTGCCATACACCTCCTCTCCATCAAGCAGCAGCGCCACGTCCGAATACCAACGCTTCTTGTGGCACTCCGGGGTTGCCCTGACGTAATGCGCCACTCGAGCACCACGCTCCTTGACGGATGCCGGTACAGCCAATGACGTGTGAGCCTGCATGGAGGTGTGTATGGGCAGCTGTAAATTTCCTATATTGCTTGCGGTGTCCAGCGAGATTACGACGTGAAAGAAAGGAACTTACTCGCACTTTGGTGGCGCTCACTCCATAGCGCTCCAAAGCACCCCCAAATGCCTTGTGCGCTTGAGGGTGTTGCTGAGCCCACTTCTCAAAGAACCAGTTCTTCTTGACTGGCTCAGTAGGAGGTGTAACCAAAATGGTGTATGCCTCCTTGGTGAGGACTCGCTCCCCTGTGTCCATGGACTGCGCGAGCGCACGATGGTTGTTAAGCTCATGTGTTAGTTTGTTGCAAACTTTTTCTTATGGTTTGTACCTTTTGCATGCATGTGTCCCGAATGCCCTCCTCGTTGTCGAGCGTCAGGTACGCAGCCCGCCTCTCATGATGCTTCATGATCTGTGCATCGACATTCCTCTTGTTTGAGCGGCGGTAGATGCGCTTAAGGAGGGGGCCGTGGAGGTGCTCGAACATGTTGGTCGAGTACTCGGATACGTGACCCGCTCGGCGAATCGCGTCGGGGTAGTGCGACATCAGGTGTGTCTTGATGATGCACCACGACGATCTCTGCGAGGGGAATGCTTTCTGCAGCTTGGTGACCAACCTGGTGTTAGGGATTTCACATGTGATTATGACATAAAGATTGGTCCTACCTAGCAGGTGTTGAAACATAGAAAGTGTTCAACATTCACCAGAGTTTCAATCACGTCTAACGCACGGCAAATATGCTCCTTAACAGTTCACATCCAGAAATACCTGAGGGTCAACCCCTCAAGCTGCAGCAGAGAGCCCTCTGTGTGCCCTGGCACATGGCAGCAAAGGAGGTACCACTCCAGGTACAGCCGGAGTGCCTCCATCTCATCCGGCGTCAGCTTGTCCGCCACGATGAAGACGAGGACCTGGAGTTGGGAGTTTCGAGTAGGCAGCACAAGTGGGTACCGACGACAAATGAGATGGGCACAGCAAGCGCATGGGTATGCGCCCAAGCGTGGTGTGGACGGCCGGATGATGTGAAGAAATGGAGGGCATCATAGGTGCAGCAAATGCGTGTGGTTGCTGAGGTGGAAATACCATGGGCAGCGTGTGCGCAACAGAGGAGGGAGGGACAGTTGCACCAAGGGCATTGAGGGAGGTAAAAAAGTCAGAGGGAGATGGGGCATGGCTGTGGGAAACACAGAGGGAGATGGGGCATGGCTGTGGAAAACACAGAGGGAGATGGGCCATGGCAGTGGGAAAAACAGAGGGAGATGGGGCATGGCTGTGGAAAACACAGAGGGAGATGGGGCATGGCTGTGGAAAACACAGAGGGAGATGGGGCATGGCTGTGGGAAACACAGAGGGAGATGGGGCATGGCTGTGGGAAACACAGAGGGAGATGGGGCATGGCAGTGGGAAAAACAGAGGGAGATGGGGCATGGCTGTGGAAAACACAGAGGGAGATGGGGCATGGCTGTGGGAAACACAGAGGGAGATGGAGTATGGCGGTGGGAAACACGAAGGGAGATGGGGCAAGGCAGTGGGAAACACAGATGGAGATGGAGTATGGCGGTGGGAAAAACAGAGGGAGATGGGGCATGGCTATGGGAAACACAGAGGGAGATGGGGCATGGCGGTGGGAAAAACAGAGGGAGATGGGGCATGGCTGTGGGAAACACAGAGGGAGATGGAGTATGGCGGTGGGAAACACGGAGGGAGATGGGGCAAGGCAGTGGGAAACACAGATGGAGATGGAGTATGGCGGTGGGAAAAACAGAGGGAGATGGGGCATGGCTGTGGGAAACACAGAGGGAGATGGGGCATGGCTGTGGAAAACACAGAGGGAGATGGGGCATGGCTGTGGGACACACAGCGTGTGTACCTGGAGCACGGCGCGGTGCTCGAATGCCGCCAGGTTGGCACCGGTGGCGAAGTACGTCGTCTCCGGGAAGCGGAGGTGGGTGATCCGCGTGTGATCCCGGACGTACGAGAGGCGCCTGGGGGTGGGCATGGGTAGCAAGGGACGACCCGCATCTGAGTGTGTGCAATATCTCGAATCGGGAGACAAGGGCAAAGGGTGGGGTCATGCATACCCGTCAAAAACCCCCAGCTCCCTGGGGAGCTTGGTGCGGATGGCAGCCAGGATGTGGTGCAGGATCCCAAGGTCCGCCTGGTGCATGATGTCTGGCATGATGGCCTGGTAGGGGTTGCTCCAGGGGGCACGCGGGATCTCCCACTTCCAGAGCACGCTCTGCAAAGGCACACCCGGGAATGAGGCGACATAACATGTTGTTGGAGGTCAGGGAAACATGGACTGTGGGGGTGGGGAGCACAAGGCAGGTCGAAAGGGTGTTGGGGGGGACCACGTCGCGCATGGAGTATACCTCGGAGGGGAAGGTGGAGAAGAATGATCCCACGGTCTTCTCCGGATTCGGGGAGAGAGCACGGTGGTTCGCCACAATCCAGCGCTGGTCGGACACCGTGCGGGTGACGTTGGGCGACTGGACCGCCCACAGGTGGTCCTGCACGTGGCAGTGGGACCAGCGTTGCACGGAGCAGGGTTTCGGAGAGAACAGAGGTGACAGCGAAATCAGCTAGCCAGGGTGGAGAGTGCGGGGGGGGGATGGAACTGGGTGGGCTTACCTTCTGTGCATAGCAGATGCTGCAGGGTCTCTCCGTCCCGCCCGACAGTGTACCGCTGATCTTCCCGCTCTCAGGATAGTCGCACGCCCACGCATAGAGCCTCGGCTTCACCACCCGCTCCACCCCGTTAGGGTCCTTCAGCAAGAAACCCCTGCCGGAGCCAAGGAGGGGCGAGCAAGGAGAGGGGAAATGCGGAGGTGCGGGCAGGGTAGACAAGGGCATGCAAGGGAGGCATGAGCAGGGAATGCAACGGCTGGTGAAGGCATGGCAGGGATAGTTAAGGCAGGAAAACCCAGGGCAGGGAAATCCAAGGCAGGGAAATCCTATGCAGGGATAGCAAAGGCAGGGATAGCCAAGGCAGGAATAGCCAAGGCTGGGATAGCCAAGGCTGGGATAGCCTTGGCAGGGATAGCTAAAGCATGGATAGCCAAGGCAGGGATAGCCAAGGCAGGGATAGCCAAGGCAGGGATAGCCAAGGCAGGGATAGGCAAGGCAAGGATAGCCAAGGGAGGGATAGCCAAGGCAGGGATAGCCAAGGCAGGGATAGCCAAGGCAGGGAAATCCAAGGCAGGGAAATTCAAGGCAGGGAAGTACAAGGCAGGGAAAGCGAGGGCTGGGGAAGCCAAGGCATGGAAAGCCAATGCTGGGAAAGGACGCGTGCGGATGGCCAAGAATGCGGACAGGGGCGGATGCGTCGGTGGGAAAGATCGTTCTCACCTCTCCATTCCGGCGAACAGGGGCTCTAGCGCGGTCACCGCGAATCGATCCCACAGCTCGGTCTTCTGCGCTGATGGCATTGAGCGGGGCGGGATGGGGAACGTGCCAAGCAGGCAGTGGCCGGATGTGGCCCATCGCTTCGTCTGTGAGACGTTAGCAAGGGTCATCATCAGCGGGTGGGCCTTCTTCCGGCCGTTCTCGCTCAGATGAGTGACGTCGCTGTAGAGGATGACCGCCCCAACGAACGCATCCTCACCGATCTTGGCCTGCCACGATTACACGCGCAACAACGTAGGAAAATGGGGCAGGGAGGATAGGATTGCATGGTGCAGCTGCCTAATATTTGCCGTCAAATGAATGGCATGGGTCCAACGCATGGGACGGTTCACGCATTAGCAGGTGCGGGCATACCTGAGCGTCGTGCCACCATGTGCCCGTGTCTGGGGTGGAAAACTGCCGCTGTCCAGTGGCAGGGTCGCTGTCAATCCATGGCCGAAGCATGAAGCCCTCCGCATTGTTCGGATTGCCGTAGATGTCAGCAAACGCCTGCGAGAGGAGGCACACGAGGCATACAAGCCAGAGTTAGGTCATGGCAAGCCTACGTATTAGGGGCAAAGGAGGCTTGACAGTGTTGGGGGGCTGGAAATACGCCCCTAGTCACTCACTTGCGAGGCGTCGCGGAGGTGCATGGTCTGCGGCGGCTGGCCCTCGACCTGGAAAGTGACAGTGGACCATCCGCGCCCGAGGCCATCGAGTTGCTCCAGCTCGAATGCTTCCATCTCGCGGACATTGGTGTACTCAGAGAGCACACGCTGGGCCATCTCGGGGTGCATGAACAACTGCAGCAGCCGGTTGACATCAGCGTTGGCCATGCCAATGCGCCCGTTCACCTCCCGCACGAAGTGCAAAAAACGCAGCGCCGCGACGTTCAGCACTGGAGGCTGATCGGCCGTGGCCTGCAGCGGACGTGGAGCGTCTTCGAAGTCCCTGCGGACCTGCTCCTCTGCCCAGAAGCGTTCCTCCTCATCATTCTCCTCGCGGCTGGTGGCAGAGTCGCTTACGGTGGACGAAGTTTCGTCACCGTCGTCCGAATATGAGTCGGACTCAAGGTCTGGCATGTCGTCGTCCTCCTCGTCGACGGGACGTGCGTCGCGGATTGCATCTAATCCAAGGAATGGGTTATGCTCAGCGCCGCGCGCTGCCCGGGCCTGAGTAGACCGGATGCCCCGGCGGCACAGGGGGTGGGAACCCCTGTGCTGGCCAAACGCCTGGGCATTGCGAAACGAACGATCGCAGAACTCGCAAGTGACTGGAGTAGATGACCTCATGCTGGGCATCCAGGTCCTAGAGAGCCATTGTCTAGACCGATAACGTGGGTAGCACGTTTCAGAATATATACTAGGTCTAGCACGGATACACTAGGGCGCGTAAGCCTAGGCACGTTCCGTGTCGCCCACAGCGCTCCACGGTGGTCACTCTTAAGTTGTGTCGCACAGCTAGATACGTGGAGGCAATTCGACTAGGGGGAATGAGCTGCACGTGATTCGGGGATCACTCCAACGTGGTGTCGCACATCCAGGTTGGTTTGAATGTCTATGACTAGCCAGAGTCGAGCAGCGCGCTTCTCGGTGGTCACACCTGTGTGGTGCCGCGCAGCTTAGTGCGTGGTGGCTGTTAGACTAGCGGGGAAAAATTGCCCTAGCCTCTGCACAACAGCTGAGGAGTGACGCACAAAACAGATCTGTGGTTGTGGCACGATTTCCGCTTCCAACCGATGCGCTGGCGCAATCGGACACGAGTATGGTTCGGGCGTGGGACATCGGGTCCGTTTCGCCCTGGTCAAGAATGATTGGGTGGTTTAGAGGCGGTTTTGATGTGGTAACGATTGTTGAATACGTGGTTGGACGCGGTACCTACCCAGCTTCGGAACGTGATATTGCCAACTGGACCTGTTGTCCCATACCCTTAGAGCGTGTTCAGAAAGCTCCGATGTCAGTAGTATATTGACGCCGACATCGGGGTCGGGGTACTCTGAACGAGCTTTTCGCGTTTCCAATTGAGACACGAGTGTTGAGCCTGCTGATGTTGCGTTGTACAGCAATGTAGGATCGTCGTAACTGTTAAACATAATACAGTGCTCCAACTAGTAAGTGGAAAGGTATGAAATAGATACGTGGCAATCCGACCCATGCAATTCTATGCTCACACATTCGATTGGACCACAAATGATAGTGCTGTTGCATCTGCCCTATGTGGAAGGCTTCTCTACCACATTCCAACATTACGCTTTCCTAGGGTAATGGAGTGGCGTACAGTTCTCACTTTATCCTCATGACCTATTCCGATTGAAGTGGATGTCTATGCTTGCGCTGTAAATCGTGCACATGTATATGTTCAAAGTTTACAGCAATGCGCAAGTGCGCGCGGCAGTTCTCTCGCTTCATATGGGCTAGAGGGTGGCTGAGACCAGATGGAGCAGCAATGCAACACTGGCCGCTGCGTCTCGGCAGTATACCGAGCTTGGGTTGCACGACGATTTGTTACGCCAGGTTAGGAGTGCCCTGGGCAGTGCACTGCACAAGACGTGACTGCTGGCCAAGTTTCACACCCTGTGTTGCACGTGCTTGGGAGACACGGCAGTTCGCGTATCTTGGTCGCTCGTTTCGTGCAGATAGAGAGAGGTCGATTGAAGAACGCTGCGGATTCGACGTCCCCGCGAGTTTTGATGCCGGGTTTGGAGTGGCCTGGGCGAAGCACACAACAAGAGGGTATTTATGGCCAATTCTCAGACCTTGCGCAGCACGTGCGTGAGCGTGACGGATGTCTCTGTGTCTTGGTCGCTCCTTTCGTCCAAGGAGAGAGGTCGATGGAAGAACGTTGCGAATTCGACGTCCCCGCGAATTTTGATGCCGGGTTTGGAGTGGCCTGGGCGAAGCACACTACAAGAGGGTATTGCTCGCCAATTTTCATACCTTGCGCAGCACGTGCGTGAGCGTGACGGATGTCTGTGTACTGGTTGCTCCTTTCGTCCAAGGAGAGAGGTCGATGGAAGAACGTTGCGAATTTGACGTCCCCGCGAAATTTTATGCGGGGTTTGGAGTGGCCTTGGCGAAGCACACTACAAGAGGGTATTGCTCGCCAATTTTCAGACCCTGAGCAGCACGTGCGTGAGCGTGACGGATGTCTCTGTGTCTTGGCCGCTCCTTTCGTGCAAGGAGAGAGATTGATCGAAGAACGCTGCGAATTCGACGTCCCCACGAATTTTGATGCTGGGTTTGGAGTGGCCTAGGCGAATCACATTACAAGAGGGTATTGCTCGCCAATTTTCACACCCTGAGCAACACGTGCGTGAGCGTGACGGCTGTTTTCGTGTGTTAGTCGCTTGTTTCGTGCACGGACCGAGCGCATTTTATGAACGACGCGAATTCGATGTCCTGGTGGAATTTGGATCCTGGGTTTGGAGTGGCCTGAGCAAAGCACACCAAAACAACATATTGATGGCTAAGTTTCACATCGAGGGTGCACGTGCATGAGCGTGACGGCTGTTTCCGTGTCTTAGTCGCCTGTTTAAGGCAAGGCATGGAGAGCACTTCAGGTTCGCTGCGAGATCGTCATCTTGATGATGCCAACTCATCTTTGCAAAGCATATGGACACCGCGTGTGCTGTGTTATGGCTCATGAACGCAATTTAATAGGGGATTGCTGGCCAATCCGCACAGACCGGGTCCTTATGGCGTACGACATCCTGCGCGAGTGGCTGGGGGGGCTTGGCCTGGAGGTGCATTTACAAAAGTGTTGCCTTCTGGAGCGTGGGGTGGTGGACGGGGGCGGGGGCGGGGGTGTGACTGGGGGCGGCGACGAGGGCACGGTTGCGGATGAGGAGGGGAACGCGGGCCGGCGCGAGGCTGGGGATGGGCATGTGGGCGTGGGCGCAGGCGCGTATGGACCCTGAGCTCGCGAGCGGGAGAAGTCCAAGACGGCAGACTATAAGGCATTGGTGCAGCGGCATCGGTGTGTGCAGTTTACTCCACACCGGGTGGCGAGGAGCAAGGGGGCGGGTGTTGGGAATGAGAAGTCTTTTGCAGCTTACTTGGTGGGGTCTCTATTTAGGATGCTATCGGCATGGCACTGCAGCGGGCCAAGGCACGGGTCATCTTGTTGCGTGCTGCTTCTATGATGGGTGGGCCTGACATTATGCGGGCGGATCAGGGGGTTGGCGAGCGGGAGGACGGGTGGGGGGCCCGCGGGGGGATGAACACTACCTGGTGGACCTGCACACTAACATGCAGTGCTAGTATTCATAGTATGTTGTCTAAGCATGTACAATAAATTACATTCCAGTGTACGCAAATTTGGGATACAACCATGTTCAAGCTTAATGCCCGGGCAAGAGCTCAATGCACTACAGTACAATAGGACGGGCTGTTCGTTGGCATCGACTACAGTGTAATGGTGGTGGTCTCAGCCAGGCTGGCGGACACTTGCGATTAGCGACAACTAGAAGTGCTGCTCACCGTTAGTTTAGAACCAATGGCTGGAAAGGTCTTTCCTGCGTTGTTGATGTCGCCATATTTTCCAATTGCGGAACACGCGTGAAAGAGTTCTGCCCAGGCAGTGCTGTACTGTTTTTTTAATCCAGGTTGTCGGGTGACTCTGCGTTGCACATGTCGGGGGGCAATTTCGACTGCCCATTCTCAAGTTCGCGTGCGAGTGTGCATTCTCATCGTTTAGCGGGCCTATCGTGTCAGTCGCCCGTTACCCAACCGCCCTTGATCGCAACGCCACGCCAGACCCTGTTCTGAAACCCTAAAAGAAAATATGCAACTATCCAACGCCCTGAAACACAGCCAGCGCGACCCCGACCGCGTGTGTGTGCGTTGCGGTTTTGGGGGGCTTCCCAAAACCAGTCTCACCAGTACTGTACACCAGCCCGAACCGAACCCTGCACTGCTGTCTTGGTGTGTGCGGTGTCTGTTAACTGTGTTAGGACCAATGTGAGAGAGAGCTGAACCAGCACTGCTTAGATCGATCCACACAATTACAGCTTCTTCGTCCATCGAGGCAGTGGGAGGATAGACTAGACTCCTTCCTTCCTCCCTCTCCCACTCCATCCGTCACCCTGATAGCTCCCTAGTCATTCAACGGCAGTCCCTCACCCATCTCACGTTTTCCCGCCTTCGCTCGTCTCACGGTGGCCCACCCGATCGCCCTTTTCCTGCTGTCTGTCGTAACGGATCCCCACGTTCCCCCTGGCTGCACTCCCTTGGAGCACGCCAAGCCAGTAGCAGCGGCGCTCAAGGCGAGAGTGTCATAGTGCCAGGTCTCCCGCGTGCGTCTTGCCCTTGTGCACCGGCAATGAAAGGCGGCACCGTACCCAGACTTGTTTCACACCCACGATAGACGGCCATTCAAGGGCACGCATAGGCAGCGGCACGCGCGACGCACAGTGTGTGCTGAAAGGCCGCCTCGACACGTGTGGTGGCGAGCGAGTGGCGACCAGGACACGGAAGGCCGTGCGACGTGCCCGCACTCATTTGACGGGCGATGCGACGCCACCTTTGCGCGGCTCCGAGATCTATCCCCGCCACACCCCGTTAGCGCCGCTGCAGGGCGAACGCATCTCCAGCGCCACGCATATCTCAAGCCGTGCATCGCCAGCGCCACGCATCGCCATCGCCACGCATCACCAGCGGCACGCCAGCAGCCAACGGCACGCATCGCCAGCGGCACGCATCGCCATAGGCACGCATCGCCAGCACCACTCGTCAGACTGCGCGGCACGTCTGACGCAGACATGGCGACACCATCCTCGGTTCGCTCCTCGTCGTGGCTCCTATCCCTACCCCCTTCCACACTCCCCTCGTCCTCCCTCGGCAAGACAAGGCCGTCGTGGCCCGTGTCGCCGCGAGCGATCGGCCCAGGAGGCGGGTGTGGAGCTGGCCTGGCCGTACATATGCAGCTTCCCTCCTTTGGATGCTAACACCAGTCCCTGCATTAGCTACCAACGACGTCATGGGGCACAAGCACAAGCGTCGGGGTGATAAGGCGGAGGGCACGCGCAAGCACAAGCGTACGCATGCTGATGCGCGACCGATGCAAGCGCTGCCAAGCCATCGTGAGGGCAGCCACTCCAGCAGCATTCACTCCAGCAGCAGCCATTCGAGCAGCAGCCACTCCAGCAGCACCTTCTCCAGCAGCTGCTTCTCCAGAAGCAGCCTCTGCAGCAGCAGCCTCTCCAGCAGCAGCCTCTGCACCAACAGCCTCTGCAGCAGCAGCCTCTGGAGCAGCAGCCTCTGCAGCAGCAGCCTCTGGAGCAGCAGCCTCTGGAGCAGCAGCCTCTGCAGCAGCAGCCTCTCCAGCAGCAGCCTTTGCAGCAGCAGCCTCTCCAGCAGCAGCCTCTGCAGCAGCAGCCTCTCCAGCAGCAACCTTTGCAGCTGCAGCCTCTCCCGGTGCAGCCACAGCTTCAGAGCCAACTGCCACGTCACCACGGGGGCAGCGGCGTCCGTGCTGCAGAGGCCATCACCGACGCTCCATGTGCAGCGGCCGGTGAGGGGGGAGAAGACGAGGAGGGGGAAGGTGACAGCAACAGTAGCGAGAGCGAGTCCGGCGAAGAGGGCGACCAGAGGCACGCCCAGTCTGGCTCCGGCACGGATACCAGCTCCTCAGACTCATCTTCGGATTCTGAGTCTGCCGACGAAGCTAGCTCGGAGGGCGAGGCGGAGCAGTCTGCTTGCATGGGGCAGGCTGCGGTGGCCGAGACGGCGGCGGGCAAGAACGACGTTACTTTTGATAAGCTCTTCGCCTCCCCAGCTGAGGCGGCAGTGGCCGCTGTGGGGCAGAGCGATGGGTATGACATGGACGACGAGGACCAGCGTGCCATGAACAGGGTCGCTACATGAAAATTGGAGCGGCGGGCGGTGCAGCTGGGGAGGGTGGGAAGATGAAGACGCGGAACGGCGGGCAACGGCAGAAGGCAGCCGGAGAGGCGGGCGACGTTAGGCAGGAACGGTCGGGGCGCGGACGCGGCAGGGCGGGCTCGCCCACACCGTCTGGTCGCCGTCTCCAAGAAGCGACTGGGAAGGCAAAGGGCTCCCGAGGTGAAGGCACGCCAGCGTCAGTTTGGGTGTCATCGTCTGTCTGGCTCGTGACGTTGTTACGTACACTTCATTGCCTGTTCTGTCCCTTGCTCTATGCCATACAGGCTTCTGCTATGCTAGAGCGTTGGCAGTGTTCATCGTGGTGCGCGGACTCATCACACTGCATTACAAACTCGCGGCACCAGAAATTGGTCCCTGTACCCTATGCATCCCCACCCCACTTCCCCCGTGCAGGTGCAGGTAACCCCAAGAGCGGGGGAGTGGCAGAGCGGGGGGTAGGTTGTTATAATTTAATATAGGCTTGGCAGGTTGTTATAACCTTTTCTCTCTCAACCCGAGCTACCACTGAAATCCTCCCAACCCCGCTTCCTCTCGTCTCCTACCCCAAGAGCGGGGGAGTGGCAGAGCCGGGTAATTATAAATTTAATATAGCCCGGGTTGTTACCCTCTACAGAAAAGGTTCAGTAACAACCTACCAAGCCTATATTAAATTATAACTTATATAATTTGAACACCCCCCTGTTTCCTTGACATGACTGTTGCAATGCTATCAACCCGGCCCATCGTGCAGGAAGACCAAGCAGAAGAGAGCACCGGAGATGCAGGGTACGTGCACCGTTGACCGTTGCTGCTGTCAGACACCATGCAACTACAGCGCCCCTGCCCTTGCCCTCGCCCTACGTGTGCAATGCATCTGCCCTGGTTTCCTTGTCACGTACGCTTGTGGTATGCACTGGCATGCCAGTGCATTATGTATCCCTATTATGCGCCTGTTGACAGTCTGACATTCACGTGCACCCTTTTGCCACAACTGCACACCATGGTACACCCTACCCTTTGTGTACAGCCCCCCCCCAGTCTGGCCTCGGTCGCCGGTGGTGCAGCAGTTTCAGCTAGGCACAAGACGCATGGCGCCGACAGGTGGAGCCACCCTAACCTCGACCCTGCGCTACAATGACGCTGCCCCCAACACCGCCGCAGTGGTCCTCCCATCTTCCAGCGCTGGGCCACGCGCGCTACGTGCCGTCCATGAGAAGGCGTCGAAGAAGAAGTACGTCTCTAGGGCTGAGCTGGACCGTATGAAGACCGCGCTGCTGGCCACTGTCACGGCCTTCATCGACGGGCAGCGGGCGATGTACGCAGCTGGTCGGGTGGCGAATGGGAATGGCCCGGCGTCCACTGGACAGGGAAGCCAGGAGGAGCCGAGTCCAGCCACGTTGGCTCGCCGTGAGGTTCTCCTGGCGGCGGAGGACTTCAAGGTGAGCAGGATATGGGCTGGCAGGTGCGTGGCTTGGGTGGGTGCTCGGGTAGGACCCGGGCCTGGGACGGTTCTGTCAGAAGCCGATCGCGGTACGGTATTGGCCAGGGTAGCAGTGGCGGCATGCGTGTAACAGTGCTGTCGGTTGATAGCAGTGCTAGTGTCGGTACATTTGCTTGGCTTGGTAGCACCGCTTGGCTTGTTAGTAGTGTCTAGGCTTGGTAGCAATGCTTGTCTTGGCAGCACTGCCTGACTTGGCAGCAGTGCGTGGCTTGGTGGCACTGCTTGGCATGGTAAGAGTGCATGGCTTGGCAAGAGTGCATGGCTTGGCAAGAGTGCATGGCTTGGCAAGAGTGCATGGCTTGGCAAGAGTGCATGGCTGGGCAAAGAGTGCATGGCTGGGCAAGAGTGCATGGCTTGGCAAGAGGTGCATGGCTTGGCAAGAGTGCATGGCTTGGCAAGAGTGCATGGCTTGGCAAGAGTGCATGGCTTGGCAAGAGTGCATGGCTTGGCAAGAGTGCATGGCTTGGAAGCAGGGCGTGGCTTGGCAGCAGTGCGTAGCTAGGCAGCAGTGCGTAGCCTGGCAGCAGTGCCTAGCTTGGCAGCAGTACCAAGCAGTGCATGGCTTGGTAGCAGTGCATGGCTTGGCAGCAGTGCATGGCTTGGCAGCAGTGTGTGGCTTGGCAGCCGTGCGTGGCTGGCAGCAGTGTGTAGCTGGGCAGCAGAGCGGGGCTGGCAGCAGTGCCTAGCTAGGCAGCAGTGCTAGCTAGGCAGCAGTGCCTAGCTTGGCAGCAGTGCCTAGCTTGGCAGCATGCGTGGCTTGGCAGCAGTGTGTGGCTTGACAGCAGTTCGTGGCTTGGCAGCAGTGCGTGGCTTGGCAGCAGTGCCTAGCTTGGCAGCAGTGCTAGCTTGGCAGCATGCCTAGCTTGGCAGCAGTGCCTAGCTTGGCAGCAATGCCTAGCTTGGCAGCAGTGCCTAGCTTGGCAGCAGTGCGTGCTTGGCAGCGGTGTGTGGCTTGGCAGCAGTGCGTGGCTTGGCAGCAGTGCGTGGCTTGGCAGCAGTGCGTGGCTTGGCGGCAGTGCGTGGCTTGGCAGCGGTGCGTGGCTTGGCAGCGGTGCGTGGCTTGGCGGCAGTGCGTGGCTTGGCAGCAGTGGCGTGGCTTGGCAGCATGCGTGCTTGGCAGCGGTGCGTGGCTTGGCAGCAGTGCGTGGCTTGGTAGCAGTGCGTGGCTTGGCAGCGGAGCGGGCTTGGCAGCAGTGCGTGGCTTGGTAGCAGTGCGTAGCTTGGCAGCAGAGCGGGCTTGGCAGCGTGCCTAGCTAGGCAGCAATGCCTAGCTTGGCAGCAGCGCCTAGCTTGGGAGCAGTGCGTGGCTTGGCACGGTGCTGGTTGGCAGCAGTGAATGGCCGTGCAGGTGCAGGCGTGGCTTGGCAGCAGTGCGTGGCTTGGCACCAGTGCGTGGCTTGGCAGCGGTGCGTGGCTTGGCAGCAGTGCGTGGCTTGGCACCAGTGGGTGGCTTGGCAGCAGTGCGTGGCTTGGGCAGCAGTGCGTGGCTTGGCAGCGGTGCGTGGCTTGGCAGCAGTGCGTGGCTTGGCAGCAGTGGGTGGCTTGGCAGCTGTGCGTGGCTTGGTAGCAGTGCGTAGCTTGGCAGCAGAGCGGGGCTTGGCAGCAGTGCCTAGCTAGGCAGCAGTGCCTAGCTTGGCAGCAGTGCCTAGCTAGGCAGCAGTGCCTAGCTAGGCAGCAGTGCTAGCTTGGCAGCAGTGCCTAGCTTGGCAGCAGTGCATGGCATGGCAGCCGTGCATCTCGCTCAACCCTAAACTCTCCCATCTCATCATGTCCTAAGCTCCCTCCCCATCTGTGTCCCGTCCACCCCAACCCCCTCCTATTCCCTCCCCACCCCCCTTCCTCGCTCCATATACCCCCCCCCCATCCCCCCCCCCCCCCCCCCCTCTACAAACCGTGATGCTGCAGGCCAAGTGCTACAACCTTGTAACGCGCATGTTCTGGCTCTGTGCTGCTGCAAAATCCAGTTTTACCCCACGGTTAAAGAGATTCTGCGTTCATTCGGCGAGGACTTTGCGGCACACATCATCGAGTGCCTGAACCTGCTGTGGACAATGAACGACTCGACCACACGAGGCGTCTTCCACGACCAGATCTCCAACACACGTAGCACGATCGGGGGGATCTTGCGCAAGATCGTGTTGACCGCGCTGGGGCTGGCATCGGAACCAAAAGTACGCCAGCAGCCTGCCGAGGGAGCTCACCTGCCCAACCGCCTGGTACACCGATGAACAGCTCGTCCGAGACAACACGGATGGTCAGTCCTTACTTTCATGCCATTCTCACCGTTTTTTTCATGCCATGGATCACATGCGCTGCCCCACACGCTAGCCGACCACTCCAACACCCCCCCCCACCCCTCGAAACCCTCATGCCTACTCCAAATTTCCGCCCACCTCCCTCTGCTCCCCCCACGCCCTCGAATCCTGTCCCCCATCGTTGCCCTCTGCAGAGGTGTGGGGTCTGATCTGGCACGTCGATAGCCGCGGATTGGCCGTTCTCGACCCTGATCTTTGCTGTGGGTTTTCGCAGGGGATTCAAGCGGCGCCACGTCCAAATGAGCTGCTATAGACCCGCCAGATCGCCTGGGGGCTGTACGCGGTGAGTGCACATCGCCCTATCCCTAGCAATATCGCACGCCCAACAACCCTTCCATGTCTCCATCCTCCATAAAACTCATCCCCCCCTTCCTCCCCCTTCACCCCCCCATCGTCATCTCCCCCCACAACCCTCGTTTGCCTATCTCTCCTGTCCTTTGTCGCCCCCGAATTCACGGCCACAGTTGGAGGCACACTGCACAACTACAAAACCGCCGAGGGAAAGCTGAGCCAAGACAGTGAAGACAATCGCCGGGGGTACGAGGCCATGGTGTTGCACTGCCGCAGGTGGGTGGAGCACGCCGTGGACAACCTTGGTGTGCCGTACGACGACGAGGCCGAGGTTTTCGAGTTCGGCAATGGGGTGCGCATTGATGCGTCCGACTACCCGAGCTCGTGGCACGCACCCTCGCCCGCATGAGGACGGGCGGCGCCCTTGCATGAGTGGCGGAGGCAGGTGGTGAGGCGTGGTGGAGGTGGGGCAGCTGGAGCAGAACGAGGGGGGGGGAGAAGCCAACAATGGCAGGCATGCGTGGCGGCAGCAGAATAGACTTGGGCAGCAGAAGCGGCGGAGGCCAGGGCAGCAGCGGCGGCAAAGGCCAGGGCAGCAGCAGCGGCAGAGGCATGGGCAGCAGTGGCGGCAAAGGCCAGGGCAGCAGCGGCGGCAGAGGCATGGGCAGCAGCGGCGGCAGAGGCCAGGGCAGCAGCGGCGGCAGAGGCATGGGCAGCAACGGCGGCAGAGGCATGGGCAGCAACGGCGGCAGAGGCATGGGCAGCAGCGGCGGCAGAGGCATGGCAGCAGCGGCGGCAGGGGCATGGGCAGCAGCGGCGGCAGAGGCATGGGCAGCAGCGCGGCAGAGGCATGGGCAGCAACGGCGGCAGAGGCATGGGCAGCGACGGCGGCAGAGGCATGGGCAGCAGCGGCGGCAGAGGCATGGGCAGCAGCGGCGGCAGAGGCATGGGCAGCAGCTGCGAGGCATGGGCAGCAGCAGCGGCAGAGGCATGGGCAGCAGCAACGACAGGCATGGGCAGCAGCAGCAGCAGAGGCATGTGCAGCAGCAGCATGAGAGTCATGGGCAGCAGCAGCATGAGAGTCATGGGCAGCAGCAGCATGAGAGTCATGGGCAGCAGCAGCATGAGAGTCATGGGCAGCAGCAGCATGAGAGTCATGGGCAGCAGCAGCATGAGAGTCATGGGCAGCAGCAGCATGAGAGTCATAGGCAGCAGCAGCATGAGAGTAATGGGCAGCAGTAGCATGAGAGTAATGGGCAGCAGCAGCATGAGAGTAATGGGCAGCAGCAGCATGAGAGTAATGGGCAGCAGCAGCATGAGAGTAATGGGCAGCATGATAGTCATGGGCAGCAGTAGCATGGGGAGCAGAAGGGGCTATGGCAAGGGATAAAGGGAGGATGAATGGAGGCACGGAATGGCCCAGGGATGGAAGCACATGCATGAGGATTGGACAAGTGCTGGAGTGAGGAGCATACTAAGGGATGATGGGTGGAAGCAGATGGTAGTGGCAGATGCATGGGAAAAGGGGCGCAGCAGAGGCATGGGTAGAGGGGAGCCTGAAAAATCATGGGAAGAGGAGCAGGGAAAACAAGGGAGGACGGGAGCAGGAGGGGCAGAAGGATGTAGCAAATGTGAGGGATGGATAATGTGGCATGTGTAGAGACGCCAGGAGGCAGCTAGGGCGGCAGGAGGTGCTAGGGCAGCATGAGGCAGCTAGGGCAGCATGAGGCAGTTGGGGCAGCATGAGACAGCTAGGGCAGCATGAGGCAGCTAGGTCAGCTTGAGACAGCTAGCAAGGGGAGGGAAGGGGGGGAAGCAGCAAGAGGAAGGTCGGGCAGGGGGGAGGGAGCTAGGGCAGCAGAAGCAGCTGGTGGCAGCATAAGCGCTAGGGCAGTAGTTGCAGCTGGGACAGCAGAAGCAGCAGGACAGCAAAAGTGGCTGGGGCAGGAGAAGCAGCTAGATTAGAAGTATATAGGGGCAGGAAAAATCAGCAAGGGGATCTAATATGTGACACCAGGCAATATTAGCGGTGGTAGTAGCAGGATCGGTGAAGGTGGCTGTATAGGTGTTTTAGGTGTGATTATGTAGGATTGTAACCAGGTTTTTTTAGTGCATTTATTAACAATTTAATATTCACATTTCGTGATTATATCATTGTAGCCAACAGCTAACTACATGGTACCGACCTAAACCGGCATTTACTGTTGCACATTGCCACGTCAGCTGCCAAATGTCGGTGGTCTCAATTAGGTGGCAACGAAGAAAGAGTGTTTCTAGTGTTTGAGTTATTTCAATTAAATAATGAACTAATCACACTCGAAACACTCACGCGCAACACTCTTTGGCGTCACACATTTTTCAGCCCGAAACAGTTACGAACCTTGGCGGAATACGCGTCGCGATTTTCGGCCCGAAGCTCGACACAGCCCCATGCGGGATGCAGTTGCCTCACTATTCCGAAAACAGCCCGAAACTCGGAATGCTTTTCCGCCAAGTTTCGGCCACTTCGGCTGACCTCAGCCCAAATTTCGGCGAGGTTAGGTGGGGATGTTTTGTGATGCAGTGCTGAACTGATTCGCCTCATCATGGCGAGGCTGTGAGGCTACAACTCCGCTACAGCGGCCGAGCTCTGCCCCAGTCCTGTACGCTGACAACAGGGCCATGATCCTCCTGTGTCAGGAGCCTCGACTCGAGGGCAGAGCGAAGCACATCCAGCTGCGGTACTTCCTCCTGCGCGAGCTACAGCAGCGTCGCCAGGCTCGCGTAGTACACTTGGCCTCTGGTGCCAACACAGCTGATATCTTTACGAAGGCGCTTGCGCCTAAAGATCATCAGCGGCACTGTGTACAGCTTGGTCTGGTTCCTGTAGTCTCTCACTTACTCGGGCCTTGACGTTGTACTGTCCTATATATATTTGTACACTCAGACTGGACTTGTGTCCTCTCACAGTGGTTGGACTAGTAGTGCCGCCCTGTACTTGTTCTTGCCTTGTCTGTACTCCTTCTGACTGGTCTTTTAGACCCTTGTCTCAGAGGCTGGACTAGTAGTGCCACCCTGAGCTGCTTGCTTAGGAATTTCCCCTATGCAGTCTAGGGGTGTGTCAAACATGTGTATTTGTTGTGTTTGTATAGACTGTATAGGGTCACCTCCTAGAGGGTACAACACTTAGGTATATTTGTGTGTACTATCTCTCTCTCACTATTCAATTTTCAATTCTGATAGACAGCAGCTGCGGCTGGAATGAGGGGTGGTGTAGAGGAGAGAGCGTGGCTTCAGCAAGGCACCGCGGTTGATGCTGACGCTGGCTGGCGTGTGGGCGGCGGCAGCGTTACAGCGTATTGGGAAGTAAGGCTTCCTAGATATTTTGACAGGGTTTATTTCGTGCATGGATAGTGGCCAATAAAACAGTGTCATTTTTGCCCTTCTGCAAACTTCATAGCACGGTTAGAAATGGCATGCTCTTTTTTTACACCAGAACTCGTCGACGTCGTATTTGAGACCGAAAGGATGAGTGAATGGAAAGGGAAGGGACGCGCAGGTACCTGCTTGAGATCCCCACCAATCTCATATGTATGCAATTGTCAGAGCATCACACCACTTGTCTCCCTTTATTAGTGTAGGTCATCCCATCAATTATGACGTGCATCGCACATGCGCAAATTCGCGTAGATCCGTTTTCTGATGTAGCTAACATATTGATTCAAAACACCCAATGATAGAAATTGACCATTTAATATTTTTTGTGATTCAATTAACGAGAGGAATGTTCCTTTATGCATTTTTTCCACCTTGCCATATGTGTCACATGATACATTTTTACAAGAACGCATGCTACAATAATTCGTATACCAAACTCATCAAGTTCTGGTGTAGCCGACATCCTTTATCACGCTAACGTAAATGATGCTCGGAAGGTGAGAGAATCGAGCCCTTGAAAATTTCAGCCAGAGTTCGGGCGGGAAATGATTGTGGCGAATGTTCGAGGGGTGTCGGGATGTAACTTCGCCCTCGCCATTTCGCCCGCGGAAATAATTGGACAGTTTTCGCCCTAAAATGCCCAACCACAAATTTCCGACGCATTTCGGCCAGAACCGAGGCGCGGTTTGGCCAGGAACGTTTCCGACGGAACCCCAACCATGACGCAACCAAAAAAACACTTCGGCAAGCCTGTCGACGCGGAAACAAAAATCCAGGTTTTTCGTCCAGTGGACGCAAAATCGAATTCAGCCAAATGCTGTCATGAGCGACTCGAGCTGAGAAGAAAAGACGGGAAATCAACGAGCTTTGCGAAGGCACGAAAAATGTTTGGCGATCCTGGGCGAAAATTGCCAGGCGAAAACAAACAAAACCTCCACCTCAGTTCGCGTCAAGAGAAGGTTGACGGGTGAAATCGAAATAACAAAGCAGCATGCTACCACGAAACAAACAAACTAAAGTTACATTCTGGACGGAAATGAAGGTGAGGAAGTTCCAAGGTTGTTATGATTCAAGCATAATAGTAATGCGTAGTGCGATAAATAGGCTTGATACATGAATGTCAATACAAATGAAAGGCTAGGGAATTCATGCGAACAACAGAGCTAGCCGAGAACCACGCGAACGGGGTGGGGCGGTTCGATGGCGAATGCTACGGAACAGCCCACGGTCGAGGTTGCCAAGCCTAGCCTTCCGAGAGTCAAGGGCTTATGCACTATAGTTGAGCCCAGTAAGGAAAAGGATCTTCAATTGAGAATCTTGGCCGGCATTGTTGTCGGCTCGGGTACATAGTTGACCGTTGGATTTAAACGTTGACAGTCGAGATCGGTCGAGTTCGTAACGGACAATCGTATGAGAATGATGTGGAATGAATATTGAATATGGTAGTTGTTGGGAACATGCAGCTGAGCGGTGATGGGTTTCACCATTCCAACTATAAGGAAGTTTGGTCGAAGTTTATTTGGGAGTAGTAATCCCAAATTCCTCATCGAGCAGGACCAGTTGCCCACGTACCGTATATCATAACTCAATCATTCTGGAAACCCAATGCACCACAAAGTCACCTAGATGAAATCGGGGATGACGTCGCATGGTTGGGGTCGCGATCAGCGGCTCGTCTGAATTGACCACCTCTGATTCGGTGCGACAACTTTGTTTTCGCAAGTTGCTGCCTTAGCGTGTCGCATGTTGTCGATGTGACAATGAGTGCGTCAAGAGGACGTCAAATTCGGACTCCTGTCTGGCAGGCTCGTATGTTCCAGAATGAACCAAGTGATTTTAACGGGACGCACCCTTTTGTGAGC